ACCATGCAATGCCACGGGACTCTGATCACGCGAGACCCCTTGGCCCGGAACTTGCTAGGCGGAGATATCCGGGACAACCGGGTATCCTAGCTACGGAAGACGCTTCTTTGATGCGGAAATGGCTAGGCGGAAGTGTCCGCCCAGTAAATGTGGCCGCGTTGTGAACCCTTCACATACACATAAAACAAATCTACTTTCTGGATTTGAGTGACAAGGGTTCAGGGTTCAAGTCTTACCTTCAGAAACTTTCCTTTGTTTATATGGTTTTCCTTTTGTTGTTGTTCTACCCAGGGCCCTATGCATATTAGACAAGTGCTCTACCACAGAGCTATGTGCCCAGTCCTGCTTCTGCTATATTTCAGTCACTGGACCACAAGACCCCATCTATAAAATAACATCTGGCATAAAAGTAAATACTGTTGAAGAACAAATCAGTATTATTAAACAAATATAGTAAATTCTGCATGGACGAACCAATTTCTTAGGTTTTCTCCCCACGTTAAAGCAATTCTAAACTCTATATATCTTCATTCAAATGTTAGTAGGCTCCAACTTGCTCAGAAGGAAATTGGCATTTGTATACTATGCTATCAGATTGGGAGTAAGCAAGTCCCTATTTAAAGAGCTGATAGAATTCTGTATTGTTGGTCTTTTATAAAATGTCTGACATCATCAGAAAGATAAAATTTCGTATTGTTGAAGTCTTAAAAGGGAAGGTTGGCTGGGGGTATAGAGCACTTGTACAGTGTTTGTGAGGGCATGGGTGCAGTACTTAACACACACACACACACACACACACACACACACACACACACACACACACACAAAGGAAGGAGGAGAAAAGGGAGGGGGAACAAAAGGAAAAGTCAGGTGGCCAAATTCCTAGATAAGGTTGATTGGAACAAAGATAAATACCTGTCATCTCAGTTCTACATGACAAAGCCGGTTTGTTTCTTATAGCATAATCCAGTTATGAGATCACTAGCAACATGATTTTATATAACTGATAAGTAGTTATTAACCCTTTATGTCAAGGAAGAACTGATTTGCAGCAGTAGGTATATATTATATGTATATATATATAATATAATATATATGAATGATGATCTTTCATTATTGCTATAACTTAAAAAAAAAAGTTTCCAAGCAAAAGTCCTTTGCAGTGTCCAGAAGTGACTGTGATGGATCAGTGAGTAAAGGTGCTTGGCATCAGTTCCAAGGATCTGCATTGGATCCCTAGAACCCACATGGTGGAAGGAGAAAACCAGCTCCAGCAAGTTGTCCTTTGACCTCCACATGTACTCACTGACATGCTTTCCACCAATAAATAAATGTTCCAAAAAAAAAAAAAAAATTAGAGGAGAAAAATAAATGACTGCCAAGCATGGTGGTGTAAGCCTGTGATCCCAGAATCCAGGAAGTTGAGGCAGAAAAATTGCAATTTTGGAGGCCAGCCTGGGCTACTCATGGGCATCCTATCTCAAAATACTCAATCAATAAATAAACAAAATAGTTGAATGGAAGGAAAGAGAGAAGAAAGGGAGGGAGAGGGAAGGAAGGAAGGGCTCATTTGATGCTTATGTTGAAAACAAACAGCATGCAAAGCTCAGGCAATTCACACAGCTCCTGCTTGGGGGTGTGAATGAAAACTCCTGAAAAGAAACTGTGTCTGCAGAGACTGATTGCCTGATTAGAATTTCAATACTGTGAAGAGAACAGAATATTGCAGGTCCAGAGGCTAATCACTTTGGCCTGGGCTAGTTCCAGCCATCTGGAACAGCCATTCCTTGCCCATCTCTGTATCAAAACTAACATCTTGTGACTAACAGCTAGGAACCTTAGCAATCTATTGATTTAGCAGACTACTGCCTTCCACCAATCCAAAGGTAATGAGTAGCATCAGAAAGCGTTTGGGTCCTATAAAAAGCTTCCTCCGTTTTGCTGTAACCCCCCTCTCTGATGTCTCATCAATGAATTATAAACTTGCCTTGATTTATGACTTTCTTTGTTCTGTAAGACTCTAAAAACTTCGTAAAACTGCTTCCATGTTGGAACATGAAATTTGAGATCTGGGTTTCTGGGCCACAATCACTCAAAATGATTTCAGAATAAACTGTCTCTGATTCCCTTTAAGATAACAGCTGTGGGGTTTGCATCGACAGGAATGATCCGCTGAGCTCACCGGGTAACTTAACTGGAGCAGCTAACATCAGACCCGGTGTTACCACATAAACTGCATTTTATTTCTTAATTAGTTTGCCTTCCCTTGTTTGTTCTTACGGTGACACTCTCCTCTTCCCTTCCTGTTCGTGAACAGGCAGCTTCTTCCAAACGTGAGCTTGGGATGGAATTGCATCAGCAATGCTCCCTCAGTGGTCTGCACAATGCGCAGGCTGGCTAGAAAACTCGGAAGCCTCCCCCCAGCAGCCACAGGGGCTCCTTTCTTCCATCTTTCAGGATGCTTTGTCAGCTCTTGAATGCTGCCTATGGTTGCCTTTGTGGAGACAGCTCAGGGTCTGCTGTGGTTTAGTCTCTTGATTGCTGCTCCATGTGTGAAGGGAGCATGGCCAGTTCCGAGGCAGCCAATCAGTTTGCTCCCGGCGTTTACATCAGCGTGGCATGATGGGAACCTCCCGTTCTGAATGAGCGCGCCTTGTTGCTTTTGTTCCTCCTCTGGAAGAAAGAAAAGGAAGCCTGGGAAAAGAGCAAGAGCTGCCTGCCTCTAATGACTATCAATAAATGCTATTCCGAATAATTTAAGAAACTGAGGTTCTAGGATACAAAACAGGAAATAAGAGAGAGTCGTGGGAAAAAAAATTAATTTACAGTTTATTGAAACTTGGGTTTGAGAAACCAGTTTAACACTTTTGGTTAAAAGTTAATTTTCCTCAGCCTTCACCCTCAATACACAACACAACACACACACACACACACACACACACACACACACACACACACACACTCACACACACACACACACACACTATATTATATGTTGTGGTTTATACTCATTTTTCCCTCTAGAAATGTACATATTCATTAACAGAGTGGACACATAATATCACTTCTGCTTTTGTGTGGTATAGAGGATGTGGAAGTATTTAAGAGGTTGGTAGATGTGTCTTCCCACTTTTGAATCTTCCTGCTTTTGAACAGTCTTCATGCTCTCCCTTCGGATGTCCTGTGCTGTTCACAGCAGACTGCATGTTTTAGGAAAATGATGAGGCAGTCCTCATACCCTGCACTTGACTCCTCACTGTCATGAATTAGCGTGGAAGGCTTGTCTGAAAGTAATATGGTCCAGGGGCATTTGGGCTTTGTCTAGGCTCAGGGCTGTAGTGAGAATGCTTTGTTGAAGTGATTTTGATATGTGTTAATGACCTATTTCCATAGCTGGTTTTATGGCAATCAATAGTTGGTTATGGATTTGATCAAGGAAACTTGAAATATAAAGATCCCCATTCTGCAGAGATCCAGTCATTTCTCCAGAACAGATACTGTGGGTTTTTGAGCATTTCCTGCTGCCCGTGTGTGACGCATCTGCCAAATTGTCTCTGACCACAGGTGCCTAGCGATGGCTCCCTCGCTGAAGACATTGTTTTTCCTCTTAAATTGTGAGAAGGGGGAGTAAGTTAAAAATAACAAAGTGTGCTTTCTCATGCTTCCAGGAAGAGAGGTGACTGTTTTTGTGAAATTATTTCAGTCAGGATACAGACATCCAAACATGGCTGAAGATCACCCTGTCACTCTTCACAAAGCATCTCATAGGTCTGTTGATGCCTGTCTATTGTTCCCTTGGCAAAAGAACTTTCAGCTTTATTATTATAGTCTGAAATGTTAATAGGACTAACTCTTGAGTATTCATTTTAAAAGTTGATCTCATAAGTCAACTAATAGTCGCACTGTGGAAAAATTAAGATGCTATAGATAACATAATAGAGAAAACTCTCCCATTGTATTGACACATCAATACTTCTCTCTCTCTCTCTCTCTCTCTCTCTCTCTCTCTCTCTCTCTCTCTCTGGTTTTTTGAGACAGGGTTTCTCCGTGTAGTTTTTGTGGATGTCCTGGATCTCACTCTGTAGACCAGGCTGGCCTCGAACTCACAGAGACCCACCTGTTTCTGCCTCCTGATTGCTGGCATTAAAGGCACCACTGCCACCTGGCCAATACTTCTCTTAATATCTGTTCTGTTGATGGTCTTAGGCAGTATTTGGTAAATGATCCTAGACATGTTCTTTCATGACTCTTGTCACAGCTGAAATGATTTAGGCCAGTGGTTCCCAACCTTCCTAATGCTGCTACCCTTTAATACAGTTCTCATGTTGTGGTAACACCCAGCTATAAAATTATTTTTGTTGCTACTTTATAGCTATAATTTTACTACTGTTATGCATTATTATATGTAAATAGTTTTAGAGATGGAGATTAGTCAAAAGGGTTGTGACCCACAAGTTGAGAACCTTTGGTCTGGTTTTTCCTGGAGTTTTAAATTTTCTGCTCGTATTTTCTTTATCAATATACAAAATATAACAAATAAAATGTATAACACAGAGACATGTAAAAGTTCCATGAGGACAGATGTCATGTTTGCTATTATATCCAGGCACCAGAAATAATGTCTGATGTTAGACACCACACATTAATCTTGCTAAATTATACTTTAATGAGGAGTGGTCAGTATTTCATTTCTTTCACTAGTTTTTGCTTAGTCAGATTCACCCTCTGTGACTTGGCGTCCTGACACTTGGGTTTGCATTTGTTACAAACCCTTGTTCTGTTACTGCATCTTGTGACCTTGTCTTAACCTGTTTCTTCAGTCTCCATACTAGAGCAGCTGGGATGGAGACCTTGTCTTCCTCAACAATTCCTTCTGAACTTCTGACCCTGCCAAACAAATAAAAACCTGAGGTCAGGAGGTGGAGCCAACAACTAGTTGGAAGGAAATAGCCATAGAGAATTAGAAGGAATCAGGAAGATGGATAGAGAAATGCACAGGAAGTAGAAGGGAGGTACTTTGAATTTGGCAGTGCTTTTGGTTTGGGAACAGAAAAGAAACACTCTCTTTGTCAGATGCCAGTGAAGGAGGAAGGTTAGCTGGTTGTAACTTGGCCTCTCTGAACTAGCAGGTTTTCACCCCAGCATCTGACTCTCCAGTCTTTATTGGTAAAACCATAAGATAAACATTTAGATAAACATAACAGTGTATAGTTGACTAGGTGCTAGGTGTGTGATTAACTGGGAGCTAGGTGTGTGATTAGGAGTTAGGTGTGTGATTGACTGGGAGTTAGGTGTGTGATTGACTGGGAGTTAGGTGTGTGATTGACTAGGAGTTAGGTGTGTGATTGATTGAGAGTTAGGTGTATGATTGATTGGGAGCTAGGTGTATGATTGGGAGCTAGATGTGTGATTGACTGGGAGTTAGATGTGTGATTGGGAGTTAGGTGGATGAATGACTGGGAACTAGTTGCTCTTGCTTGTGGTAGCTGACCTTTGAGAGAAAGTTAAGTGAGGTTCCTGGAGGATAAGGGTTGTTTTTGCCAAATGGGAACCACCTTAGGAGATCTGCTTTTCTGGTAAACAGAAACCACTTTTAGGCTTGTTTATCTGATAACAATCCTTCTATTTACCTGTCCAAAGTCCTTTTGTTTAGGAAACTGTTACTAGTACTGACATTTGGGGAGGGGATGTTTTGAACATATCACTCCAGTCTTTTGTTAATGACAGGGAGTGATGAGTCCTCTGGCTACTTCTTGCTGATGGGGGTTTGAGAAGAGGGACATCTGGAATGCTGGTTCCAAGCAAAAGCTCAATCTGGAAGGCAGTGATAGGAAACTTGAGGAAATTCCACCAGAAGCATCTATTTTACTGACTGTTGGATAATTCTACCTGTAAGAACCTGAAATTAGAGGGAGCAATCACATTATTATGAGAATAGATACCAGTGGGGTAAGTAGGGATAAGAACTAGAGACCCAAGGAGATGTGATGGCTATTCTTGGCTGTCAATTTGACTATATATATATATATATATATATATATATATATATATATATATATATATATATATATATGACAGAGACAGAGAGACAGATACAGAGAGACAGACAGAGACAGAGATTCATTCCATGAGTTCTGTGACTCTAGAGAACCCTGACTAATACAGGGGACCACAGGAGAGCCTTGGAATCATCCCCCAAAGGCAGAACCGGTTCATGTCAGCTTTCAGGACATCTGGGGTTTGCTGGCTCTGCAGAATGACCTGGGGCTTGTGAGGTGTTTTCAAGAAATTACAGGGCTATGGTTGATTCTTAGATGGGCTCTGTCAGCTGGATTGATAGCTGCTGAGAGAGATGTAGTTAAGGGACAGAAAGTAAAGTTAAGGAGCTTAGGAGAAAAACTTTATCTTGGGAGTACACTTAAAACTTCTGTTAATCTCACCTAACAAGAATAAGACCACTACCACTGTTTAAAGCCAAATTTGAAGCAATCTTTAATTAAATACTGGCCAAGTTCATACCCAGGTTTCTAGGAAATGACCCCAAGTCATGGTTTCTAGTGGCTTAAGAAGGGAAATCCATAATTCATTGCATTTCCCATCAGATCCAATCAGGGGCAGGGATACATCCTGACATATCTCCAGCCTACATCCAATCAGCAATAAGTGTGTATGTTGATGTATTTCCTGCCTGTGAACCTCCCGCCCACATGTAATCAAGCACATTTGGTGCAGATGGGTCAAACAAACTTGTTCAGGGGAGTGAAAAACATGTGACTTGTTATCACCCATAAACAGCAGCCTCCAGCATTTCAGGAACTATCTGGGCAAGGGGCTTGCAGATCGGAGGCATTTTTATTTCATGGATCTCTAAGGCATAGTAATTAAAATTTAAAGTGTAACTTTGGCTCTCATATTTCTAGGCCTGTTTTGTGGTCTTGGTTGTGTGTGTGTGTGTGTGTGTGTGTGTGTGTGTGTGTGTGTGTGTGTTTTGGGAGGGGAGGGCAGTGCTTGGAGAAAAGGATTCTCAAGACCAGGGGAAGGAAAGAGTCCATCCAGGGATAGGCAGTAGGGGGGAAAGCTTAAGCTGTTGACTGACAGGAGTGCTTATCAGGCAAGGGAAACTTGAATCCATTTGACCTGTGACAGATGGATCCAAGTTGTGAATCCCTGAACCTTACATAAATTTTAAAAAATTTACCCAAAGATACAAATTTTAAATATATCTGCAGGACCATTGTCTGTTTTAATCTGCCCTGAAATCTGCAGTGTAGAAAAATCAGTTAACAAGAGTCTGTGAACACCTGGAGTAGAATCATGCCTTTGAGCCATAGCAAAACAAAGCCTGAGGAGTTATCAACATGATATAAGCATAAACATTCATCTGTAATAAGACAGAAATTTCAAGGCATGAAAGGGAACGCAAGGGAAGAAGAGCGTGAGGACTCAAAAGATTGCTGGGATAACAGCATGAGTACTCCTTCCCACCTATGACAATAAGATCACTACCACAATTTGAACCAAATTTGAAGCATGCTTATTTTTTATTGGAGTGCACCCAAGAGCTGGCCAGTGGACTGCCTTGTAAGTTGGGTTAAAGAGAGCAGCCCCAATCTATTTCTTGGGCCCCTTCTAAGGAATAAAATCACAAGAAGTTGCAAAGGAGGTTTACAAAAGAGAGACAATTGGGCAATAAGGAACTGTAGACAAAAATCTCAAAAAACATCATGTGGTCACCATGTGATTAGGGAGGGTGATTAAGGAGGGTAAGAGTCTTCTCAAAAAACAAGTGGTCATGGGTTGGGGAAGGTCAGGTTCCCAGAAACAGACTTAAAAACAGCAACTCATCTCTGACAGTAAATAGAAAATTTATTTTTAACCATACAGCATCATGGCTTCTGCCTTCAAAATGGAGTCAGGCAGGTTGCTCAGCTCTGTGAATGAAAGGGTGTACATGACCACTCTAAGACGTGGTTGAGGACATTTTTATTGTAGATAGGAGGGGAAATAACGCCAGAGACATCTGAGAGAATCCAGAGCACGGAGAGAAAGAACTAGACTGAATAGGGCCAGCATACTGAACTTGGCCATGAGAGACAGTAGGGAGGGAGAGGGGAAGAGAAAAGAGGAGTGAGGAGAGAGAATGAGAGAGAGAGAGAGAGAGAGAGAGAGAGAGAGAGAGAGAGAGAATGAGAACCAAGAGAACATATGGCTGGAATGGCGGGGTTATACAGGAATGAGAAGCCCGGGGAAGGGAAGTGACGACCCTGCAATGGAGAGGTTTAGGGTAGGGGTCTGGGTGAGAAAAGCAGAGTAGAGCCACAGGTGCTGACTGAGCCCGGTTGCCAGCATACTAATAGGCACATCAGTTAGCCATTTGTCCCAGATTTCTTTGGGACCTGACACTGTCCAGAGAGCTGAATATCTATAAATTGGACAGAGATGTTTTCAGTACAGTGAGAAGCACTTTAAAGTCTATATTTAGAAAACAACCAAAGGAAATTTAAAAACTGAGTCTATGACTAGGATAATATTTCTATTACCAACACTAGAATAATAACTTACTGGAATTCTATTGAGTAACATTAAATTTTGAACTTTGATGTCTTAACATCGTTAGTCCCCATTTTCACATCTGAAATCACTTCCTTCATAAGTTGCATTCCTAAGCTTTAAATCACCCCCTCAGAACTATTACAACCTACAGAAACTTAAAAAAAAAAACTGAAACATTTTCTTTTCTATGAGATGTAGGTGTTTGATTACTAAGAGCAATCACTGAAATGAAGTTCTTTTAAATAAAGGAATAGGAAAAAGTAAATTTCTAGTCTTAACATGGTGTGCCTTTACAGAATATCCGTTTCTTGCAGGATTCAGTTTATCCAAATAGTTAAAGCTTAACAGAGTTAGCGAAGACAACGAGGATAGATATGCATCTTCAAGTCCATTTTCGCTAGCCTGAATAGACTGCAGGAACACATAAAACTTATTCATCAAACATATGTTGTTCCTTATCTAATTTCTTTTTAGAAGCCTGGTGTTGAACACAACAAAGACATGAGTAGTTATCTAAGTTAGTTTCTGTTAACCTGAGTAGACTATTATACCTTTAGGAATTTATAAACCTTATTCAAACATACGTTGTTTTAAGCTCTATTTTCTATACCTTGTTCATGGTTTTGCCCTCATCTGTTGTTTCTTAAGTCTCAGGACAAAAATCATCCTATAAAAATCCATCCTAATCCAAAATATCTTGGAGGCCTGCTGTTGCCTGCATAGTCTAAAAAAAGAGATACAATGATAAGCAGAGGGCTCACTAGGATAGGTTGTTTAATGGATGAAGTCATAGTTGGATTCCTTAATTAAGGTGACCTTAATTAAGATGATGGTGAGGTCATGTTGGGAACAGGTAAAAATCCCCTTGTCCTAAGTACTGCCATTTTTAACTTCAGACTCCATTTTACCTGTGAGGTGAAATGAAATTCAAGTTCCTAGGCCCAGGGGCAGCTGGAGACCTTCCAATAGCTGACCAATCTCCTATTGCCATTAAACAATAGAAATAGTCTACTATGGATCTTTAGTTCTCCAAAACAGTATGGCTGTTCCTAACAACAAAAAGAACAAATGAATCTGGTTGGTTGGACTACATTCTCTACATGTGTCAGTTTGCTGACCCAGTAATAAATCTTGCTTTGAGTGACCTCTCATGTCTGCCTGGGTTGTTTCAGATCCTTGTACCCACAACAGTCAGTCACATGGTATGCACTCTCTTTAACCTTAGTAAGGATGGTTGCCAGCCACGTGGTTGTTTTACATCCCAGTGAAGCCATCAGCTAAGATGGTGTCAAGCCACATGATTTCTATTTATTCCAAGATGGGCCTACCAAGAC